AAAGGGATGACATAAAGAATGAGAGAACATAGAGAAGACATAAAGAATGAAAGAAGAGAGAAAGAAAGATGACATAAAGAATTAGAGTAGAGAGAGAAGAAAGAAAGAATGAGAGAAGAGAGAGAAGACAGAAAGAATGAGAGAAGAGAGAGAGGGATGACATAAAGAATTAGAGTAGAGAAAGAAGTCGTAAAGAAGGAGAGAAGAAAGAAAAGACAGGAAAGAATGAGAGTAGAGAGAGAGCTCCAATTAAAACATTGCAAAAAAGGATAATTATTATTCAACATTATAATTAATGTGGAAACTATATATATAATTAAAGCGTATGTCCATCTGAGTAAAAGTATGCTTGGTAAGCTCCTTACAAAAAAATGCAAGTAATGGCTGTCAATGTAAGGGACCTATCCTTAAGCAGAGATTTGGATTCAAGAATATAAGGAAGAATAGGAGTAGGTACTCATATGAAAATATCAGTTAGGTCAGGAGGCAACTGGTATAAAAGTAAGGTAATTTTGTTTGTGGTTCAAGTTATATCCGATTGGGAAATTACTTTATTGGGATTGCAGTCAATGATTTCTGATAGTGCATTATTTCTTGGACTGATGGGAAATGTATATTTAACCATTACTCAACAATGTTGTTTTAGTTAGGTGCACTGAAGCTTGATGTAGTTAAATTTGGAATTGAACATTTTATAGAGTGACCAACATCAAGTAAAAAAATCAATTCTTTTACTATTGAATTTTTAAAAATCTTAAATAGGGGCTTGTTTACTGAACATTAAAAACAAATTTAAAGCCCAAATATCTCTTTATAAACATTCTTGAAAGAATTGCATTTATTTAGGTAGTACAACTATAATTATCGAGTTATAAGGCATAATAAATTTTAATAAGTTAAAAAGTTTTAAAACAATACAAGCGTAACAATCGCTATTAGTTTTTCTGTTCTTCAAAATCACAGAAGGATTTGATTTTAATTTTGATCAATAATTTTTAGCACTAGACCAGGGATCTGCAACATTATTTTATGTTAAGAACAATTTTATAAACTATTTCTACTATGAAACTATTTATGAAGCTTCAGGCAAGGGCAGATCTGGAAAGCAAACATGCATATGACAACTTTGAAATATTTATGTTTTATGTGTGATAGTTTAAATTTAGAAAAAACAAATATCAAAATTTTTAAGTAGGTCTAATCATAGTAGCTTTTTTTTTAAGTAGGCCTATTTATTCACCTTTTTAAGGAAACAAAATATCAGTTCAAAATTTTTATTAATAATGAAAAGAGCTGCATCATTTATTCATTCAAATACCAAAGCTGCAGGTTGCTGACCACTGAAGCTTTAACTGTCTTAACTATTAACACTAACTACTAGCACTATTTATCTCTCGTTTTCTAAAGTCTAATGTCTCTAAGTAGTCAAAAATTTTATTCAAAGTGACTGAATTCATATTTTAATGCATATTAATATTTCAATGTCAATATCAATCATGTAATTATTTATAATGACAATTAATTGATTAGAAATCATAATCATATACAATTTTTCCAAAATACAATTTGTCCGAAATTGTATCGCTTTTGTCAGTGAGTAGGCCATTTCACGTAGTCCTATACTATACTATACTATATTTTTTTGTCCAGGCCTTTTTTTTTTTAAAGACACTATCACTAGACATACTCATTAGGGGTCTAAATAAAAATTAGTGTGAACACACCAAACTATAAAAACAGCTTTGGCTTTAGGCTTTAGGAATGGAGTATTGAATATGTAGTCGATTTAGGCAAACAGGACATGCATAAGAATTAGATAATAAGTATTTAGATATATTTATAAATATAACGGATAAAGTTATCTAATATGAAAAAAAACTAATAAATTAACGTTGACAGTAAAAAAATCCCACCTTCCGAGGTTCTGGTCGATGTTTTGCTTGACACGAAGGAAATTTTTACGTAAATTTTCCCTTTTAAACATTTTTAAAGTCAAAGTTGGATAACAGAAGAATACATCGTTTGGTGTCCTCAGATTCGATATTAGACAATTATTGCAATTAAGAAATTTTGAGCTAGCTAAAAATAAATTAACATTCACACTAACTAATTCTATACTCTATATACTTGACACCAGGAAGTGCAGGAAAAATTTTGCCATTTACAAATTATTAAAAATAAGGATTTGTTTATCAAAGCGAAACAAAAGGTTCATTATCTTGGTGTCGTTTTCTTTTTAATTCCCTTTTGTAAGAAATGTAATATTTAAAATGGGTGATCTTTGTATTTAATATGAATCATTTAATTAATAAATTCATCAAATAACACATTTTATTTATTTAATGGGAGCAACTTCGCGGTCCGGTTGGGGGGGGGGGTATGATAGACTAGGATTCTATTAATAATGTGATACACATTAGTGATGTTTTATATATTTTTGGTGAGGAGGGTGGGGGGGATCTAAAATCGGCCAAAATAGTGTGACGTCATTTGTGGATTGTTCAAATGCACAGTGGCCCGCAGCAAACTCCAAAAATTGCTGCTAATCTACCCCCCCCCCACACACACACACACACCCAACGCAAATCCTCAATAAACTCAATATGATCAACATTTCATTGGTGCTGGTTATTACTATTATTGCCAGTTAAATATTATGCTCCAGTTGATTCATTTGCTTTTATTTAAAAAATCTAAAAACTTCAGCTTAAAGCCTCAAACTTGTTTGTATACGTAAATTTGTTTGAAAGAAATTTGGTCAAACGTAAATCTGGTCGAACGAATTTTTGGTCAAACGAAAATTTAGGGTCGACCATTAATTAATTTTTACGCATATTTTGACCCCCGCCCCCTTGTCAACAACTGTCAAACTTTCGATGACCCCTATTTAATTATGTTAACATTTTATTAATAATTATTAATTAATAGGTTGTTAAGGACTAAATATCATTGTTTGTGGAAGTTTAAATAGGATTACTGTCAGTATAGCTGACAATTATAATATAGTTTCTAGCTGCTATCATCTTCCCGTGGAGTAGCCAGGTGTTGCTGTCTTGTAACAATGGGCATCAGGGACATCATTTGGGTAGGGCAGGGGGTATTTGCCCCCCCCCCCCGATTTTGTTTTTTTTTTTTAAATTGATATGTAATGTGGCGCCTCCCGTAATAAACAACTTAACAAGCCGACCAAGTTTTGGTATAACAATGGGCATCAGGGACATCATTTGGGGAGGGCAGGGGGTATTTGCCCCCCCCCCCCCCGATTTTGCTTGTTTTATTTAAATTGATATGTAATGTGGCGCCTCCAGTAATAAACAACTTAACAAGCCGACCAAGTTTTGGTCTTGCCCATCCCCTCCCTTTCCCTGAAAAAAAAACTGAAATCACGCCCCTGATGGGCATAGTGTATAGTAGTTGATTCTTCATTTTCATCTTGTGGAACTGATACATCAGACATGATGAAGTCAACATCGTCCTTATCTAACTATTAAGCGCTTAAAATAGAAATATTGTCGGTCTGAGCAATATTTTCCATAAGCTCTCTCTCTCTCTCTGTATTTGAGTTGGTATAGTTGTTATTGAACACCGATGAGTATGTGTGTTGTTGTTTTTAAATTGAACACCGTGTACTATGATGTGTTATTCATTCAGGGAGCGTATATGAGAAAAATGACAGCTGAAGAGATGACAACTTTTGACTTCTCTTGCACTAAAAAAATATGCTAACATTCTGACCAACCAGCTGCATTGCACAAACAGACAAACATTAAACTCTTATATTGTTAAAAGCCTAAACATATATGATTATTCACACTCATTATTATTGTTTAAAATAATTTAAGTACAAATCAATTTTCAAGATTAAAATTATAATAGAAAAAACATGATTGTTGACGTCAACTAATCTAAACTCCCCTACTCCCCTTGTCAACAACTGTCAAACATTTCCACCCCCCCCCCAACCTCCTATTTTGTTGACGTAATTAATGGACGCCCCCTTTGGTCTAGAGAAATTTTTTCGAAGTTGAATTTTTTTTAGATTAAAAAAAAATGTTGTCATTGTTTTAACGGAAGGCTGTTGACATTGCACTGCCGGTGTCATTCAAATGAATCAGTAGGTAGGCCTATACACAATATTTTGAGGAGTGTGTCGTTTAGTTACAGCATTACTTTTAATCTTGTTCATTATTTCATTCACACTTCAATAGTGTAGCTATCAGATGCATGATTATGTTCTTGCTTTGTTTAGCACTATTAACAGTCATCATTCGACATGGACACGAACTTTTAAAAAGTTCTTCACATTTCTAATAAATTGTATCGTCACGCTGGTGACGCTGCATCTCTTTCTTCATGTAGGCCTACATGTAGCAATCAACTTCTAGTTTTGAATTATTTTTAGTACTTTTTAACAAATGTAATTTCAGACGAGGGGGTCATTTTGAGTAGCCTACTTGTAATTTATCATATCAAGTTGTTCATCCTTCGCATGCGAATATGACCAATGGTGAGTACGCAGACTGTAAATCAGGTGGCTTGCCAGTTCTATTTGTGTCTGGGCAGCTTTCCCGCACTTAGGACACAAGTGTTTTGGGGTCTTAGTTAGATTGGAGTCGATTATTCTTGTCCGTGCAGTACGCTTTTTTGAGGCGTGAGCGGTGCGTTTAAATTTTAAGGATTTAAATTGTGCTCCAATAGTGAGTCTGCATCGCCAGCTTGTACGATCCATGGCAAGGTTTCCACGAATTTAAGTTGATGTCCAAGGTCATGGCTTGGAATGAAGCTTTTACTTTTTTAAAATTATATTGAATATATATATACACACATATGTATATTGTGTGTGTGTATTTATGTGTGTATGAGTGGGTGGACTGTGGACGGTGTGTGATGTGTGTCAATTGTGTGTGTGTGTGGGGGGGGGGGGGGGGGCACATTTAAGATTAGCGTTTTTGAAGGATTCACGCCGAGGGTTATTTCCGGTCGATTTTGATTTCCGCTTTCATTTTAATAAAGCATGGCTGGTAAACAAACTGTTGTTGACTCTGTTCTTGCTCAGAATCAGACCGACGAACCTAAGTTCAAATCAACCCATGTGGAGAATGCCGAATTAGTAGAAATAGATGAAGGCCTTTTATTAGCGTCAAATGAAAATAAATTAGATCTAAAAGAATTCAGGTAACAGAGTTTCAAAATTATATTTATTGGATGCTGACACTGAACTGAGTGTCACTGAGTCACGCACGGGCGACTCAATGAGTGAGAGTGACTTCTCATCAGTTTAAGTGTTCGTAAGTTATTATTTTCGCTACGACTTCACTACACCTGTCCGTAGCGTAGCCAGTCAGTTGGGGAGGAGGTAGTGCCATTGTCAATGTAAGTCTCAGTCAATTGTGAGCCAGCACATTTACTGTTGAATGATAAGGCAGGCTAATTTTAGTAACTTCTTAATCTTTTAGTTTACTTGTAACTTAGACTCTCATCCTCACTGAACTCATTTACTGATTCAGGAAATAATTTTAACTTCAAATAAGTATGGCAGCTCAAGGTAGGGTAAAACCTTGTTAAATGACAATACCAATCATGTCTTGTGTTTTCCTTTTTCAGGTTATACTCTACCATGTAACTTGTGTGACTCATTTCCTTTTACACAAACTGACCAGCTGATCCTTGTCTCCCCCCACGCCCATTTATTGTGCTTCGCTGATTCTTATGAGTATCAGGAGACTGTTTCACTAAAATGAAAAAAAGGGATCAGGGCCTAGTTTAATTATTAAAACAGCCTAAACCTAACCCTATTCTTTAATGATAGTGTCACTGTCTGTATGTTACTGTAAGTGTAAGTGAGCATAGAATTTCAGACTCTGACTAGAATTAGATTAAGGCAGATGTTTGGTAGGTGCAGTAGCACCCTAAGCTTCAACTCTCAACATCCAATGGGCAAATGGGTACAGCTAAATGCTTCCTTCCTCACAATGACCTGAGCCTAAGCATAATTCATGTGCAGTTAAATATGCCAATAACCTACCTGATTCCCCACCCCCTCTTTGTTCTCAGTTGCTGGTTTTGACATACAGCACACCAGATATTATAGACACATTTTAGATTAAGTTTTTATCAAATGTAATATGATCACCTTAGCGTGTTGTCTGCGAAAGGGAGGGAATAACTTTGAATAACAAGTGTAAAATTTATTACACATAACGTAGTTGTGATTGTTCATTAATGTACAGTATTTCCTAACCTTTTCAAAAATGACTAAAATAGAGTTTGATAGCAAATAACGATTAACAAAATTTGCTTTAATTTATTTTACCTCCAGACAAAAACCTGAAGAAATCCTAAAAAATCTTGCCAGAGATGCTACGCAAGTGCTATTTAATTCCTTATGGCAGGTAACTGACAATTTTATACAATTTGACTATAAATATAATAAATTCTAAAGTAGTTTAATTATGGTTTAAATTTTTACCCTTTTTTATTTATGTAGATATATGTACTAATAAATAGTTAAAATTTTAAACATTTAAGATATACCATAATAAATATAAGAAATTTCTCTTTTACATTATCTTAGCTGCCAGTTGAAAAAGTTGAGGGCCATTTTCTCATTAAGGTAAGCTTTATTTTGCTCTGACTTGTTAGCTAACATAATTGTCAAAATAATGAAATCTAATTTTTTTTCCTTCTAAATTTATGGATCATGTTTGAATTATAATAAATTATGTTTCCAAAAATGTGTAGCTTTCTAAAAAATTTAAAGAGTCATAAATAAGTAAATTTAATAATAATCATGCATGCAATTGTAATAAAAGACAATGTTTCAAGGAAACTTAATCAGGTGCTTATTTTTCATAGCTACCAGAAATCAAGACATGGTTGCCAAGAGAAAAACCGGTAGGCTGATGATATACAATTTAAAAAAAAAATTCTTGGTTATGGGTGGGATGTTTTCACTATACGATAATGATATTTAGAATGCATTTGAAAAATTAATATTTTCAATTTTGCTTTTAGGTATATCAGTATTTTCAATAGTACAATTTTATTTTAAAGATCTTATTCAGTGAATTTTTTTTATCCTTCTTTCTTCTCATTCAGGTTCCTAAGAAAAAAGCAGTCACAAAATGGCAAGAATATGCAAAGGTTAAAGGCATTTTAAACACGAAAAAGTCTAGAATGGTTTGGGATGAAGCTTCAAAGGTACATTCAACAAATACTATAACAATATTTATTATAATTATAACTGCATTTCCTTTATTCTACATAAGATAAGCTGAAATGATTCATAGAGATAAGAATTTTAAGAAATTTTGCATTGGTGTTTGAAGCTAATTATATTTTATTTAAAATTGACGACTCTAAGCCTTACTGACACCAATTTTTTCAATCTTAATCAGTTCACTTTAATTAATTTTATTAACTACATTGTAATCTCTCTTCAAATAAGAATATCATTTAAAAAGAGCTTATTGAAATAGTTTTATTTTATCCACTGGCATGTTTATTAATCATTATCAGGAGTATAAACCGCGTTGGGGTTACAAACGAGCTAATGATGATACTAAAGATTGGCTGATAGAAGTACCAGTAAATGCAGGTAAAATTTTTATTATTATTATATAATATTATGTATACAATTTATTTGTAGTTGAAAAAAAACAACAACTTGCCACATATTTCAAATAAACAAAGTCTTATCTGTTAATAATTTCACTACTGAGACACTTTTAACATTGTATGTGCAGACCCTATGGAAGATCAGTTTGCAAAAAAGAAAACTGCCAAGAAAGAAAGAGTTGCCAAGAATGAACTACAGCGTTTACGTAACATTGCAAGGTCACAAAAGTCAAAAGGTAAATACGATAGTAATTTGTCACAAAATTAATATTCCAGCTTCTCATGAGCACCATGTTTTGATAAATAATCTTATATAACAATAGTTTACATTGTTTTTAAAGCTCACACTCTTACCGTTAAATATTAATATATAGTTCGCTGCATTCTGTTCACCATTAAACTCAAGCTACATTATGTTTCAATAATGCCTTTCACTCATCAGAAAAGCAAATTAATACATTTTGTAACTTAATTAGCTCCAGTGTTGATTATTTAAAAAGTCTATATGCATTTGTATTATGACTTGGTTTTTAAGCTTTAACATTCAGCCTATGCATGACAACAAACTTTATTTTTTATCAGTACCAGGAGTTGGGCTCACCCCTACTGAGCAGCCTAGCAAAGAACATTTGGAGAAAGCCCTTGCAATTGCCCATAAATCAACAGCTTCAATAGGCAAATTTACAGATAGATTGCCAAAAGAGAAGCCATCAAAATATACAGGCAAAAAAAGAAAGGTATAATTTGAATGGGAATCTTTCATAGTTTTCTCAACATATACATTTTATTCTTATTTAGTACCGTACTGCAATGCCTAAGCCCAGTGGTTCCCACATGGGCACTGCTGCTTCTTGACACGGGTGCTCAAAGTTTTCATAATCATTAATTTAATTTAATGAGACAGGATGCAACATCTAGAACTTAATAATTGCTTTCACAAGCCTCTACAAATAGTAACTGGATGGTGCTCTAAAATTTAGTTAACTAGCCGTTTGAGTAATTTCTCAAAATTTCTTGGTCTCATGCAGTCTTAGCTTGACATATGACGCCTTGAGAAAAACCTGGATTAAGCAAGGGCAAAGGGAATCAAAGAGGTTATGGAACAATAGCCTTAGCTGACCGGTTTAAAAAGTATTTTAATAATTTTAGCGTAGAAGCTAAACTAATATTAAAGAATAGGGGTGTGCCGGATCCGTTTTTTCCAACCGGATCCGGATTTTCTTATGCGAAATCCGCCGGATCCGGATTCCGGTTTCTCCCGGATTCCGGATTTTGGTACTATTGGTAGATACTTCGGTAAGTCAAGGTGGACTACTACTTTTTGTGTATGGGAATTCGCAATCGGCGCCAAAAAATCCGAGTTTTTAATTTTCCGATGTGTGTGTCTATTTATTATTAAATTAGTACTTTCGATATATATTTGAGTTCCGTTCCATTTGGATAAGTGTCTTACGAGAGACGCCATGTTTCTACGCGTTCGCAGCAGGTTATGCAGCTCGCTCAACCTAATTTCGCCATGGGGTTGGCCACGCCCCCCTTTTTAATGGCGGAAGTTGACGATACTTAGGAAATATTAATTTATTATCACTATTTACATCAAAATAATTGATAACTTGTGTTTCAGAATGCATTTAAAGACATTTAAACTGGAATGTTTTAATTTGAGCTTTAACAACCCGGTAGAATCCATATTATAAATGATCAGAATTTACCGTGTGCAACACGTTGTCATTGGCAACCATTCACAGCCACTTGCATAACTGTATCGTAGTACTACCTCAGAGTTTCATTCATAAGAGTTTGCCGTGTGCAAAAACTATTAAACCATTGGTCAGGGAAAGCTTTAATTAATTATTCATGTGCCAAAGTTGAAAGTTTAAACTAAGTCTAAACAGTATTTTAGTGATAAGGCAGGGAATGCGTTGCCTTATATAAACTATATAGTCATTGCGCATGACGGGATTGGTGGAATGAGATCACAGAATGTGGAGATGCAGTCCATGTTAAAAAATGACAAACCAAGTCGTACTTTAAAAATTCATAACTTTAAAACTACAACAGCTAAAAATATGATTTTGGTGTTATAATTCTTTAAAAAATTACATCTTTTCAACTATGCCATTGGTTTATTTTTACAAAAAGTTTAAATTTTCTTATCAAAGTCCCTACACTATTGGCCACTATTAGCGGTGCTGACTCTAGCCTCTGGTATGTACGGAATATTAAACATTAAACAAGCTCAACGCTCGAAACAATCGATTAATGTATCGTGATCGTGTGAAATTCGGGAAAGAGAATTACTTTTATTTCAGATTATGATCCGGTGAGTCACAAAATCTGGCAAATTCCGAAATCCGGTATATTCCGGAATCCGGTTGTTCCGGATACATGTAAATCCGGCGGAACCGGATTTCACCGGATAGTGCAAAATCCGGCGGAACCGGATTCCGGACCGGGGTCCGGCACACCCCTATTAAAGAACATTTTTTTTTTATCTGACCTGCATGTTCGTTTTAAAAGAAAAAAGTGAAATAAATTATTTTCTCATTTCTGAAGCTAGTTTTTGGATTCTAATTCTTATGGTACACTTATATCTACAGTTTGAGCCATCCATTGGGAATCTTAAATCGGAGAAAGAAAAACAGTTGAAAATTCTTGACATTCATTCAAAGAAGATTCCTAAAATAGATGTCACAAAAGCAGCAAACAGGGCACTAAGACAAGAAGAAGAAGAAAGGTAAATTACTGAATGCAACCATGTGAAACATATTGAGAATTTGTTTAATTTTGTCATTTTTAAGCACCTTAAAAATAAATTGTACATCTGTTAAGAATCCTATAAAGAAAGTAACCTTAAAATTTTTTTTTTTTTTTTTGGTTCATATTATTCACAGGTATCTGTATCCTTGCATTAAATTTCAGTAGTATAGTTTAATAGTAAAACGATTTCTCAGATGTAATGTAGTCAAAATAATTTCTTTTCAGATCAAAAGCTGCAGAGAAAAAGAGCAGAAAAACACCCAAGAAACAGCGTGGGAAAAAGGCTTCTTTAGGGTTGGGTAAAAGTGGTGGGAAAATAAGAAAAGGTGGGGGAAACAAGAAAACTAGAGGCAAGAGGAGGATGTAAATGCAACAATGTTTAAAGTTTGATTCAGCAATAAAAAATATATCTTAATAATTCGTAGGTGTTCGAAGACATTTATTTTTAGTTGTTTAAGTTGGAAGAGAGTGGCTACCACTTTTCTAGAAAATTGAATGAGTAGGTCTCCATCTTGTTACCGTAATTTCAGTATTAAGAAAAAAATACATACATTTATTTATATTTTACTTTGCATCATAATTCAAGTTCTCTTTATTGTTAAGAGGAGAGTTTTCAAAACAAGCAAGGTACAGTTTGTATTTATTCACACCTCAATTGAAGTATGAGTTTTAACCAACTTCTTAACTGCTCTTTCAGTAAGAAAATATATTTTCTAAGGGGCCATTTATAAAATACATATGCAAAAAGAGCCAAAATTTAATACATTCTTTCCCAGTTGCACCTGCATTTTTGGACAGCAATCAAATCACTTTGTCATAAACACGGTTAAAAATGTCATTGATTTTTTCCACTGGTGTAGCCCAATGATTCTTTTAACTGTGTGCCACTAGTGTGCAGCACACAATATTGTGTCACAAGCACAGAAACATACAAAGGTGTATGGTGCAGTCGAAGTTTCGCTAGGCTGGGCTAGGCTATATAACTGTCACTGAGTACATTTGTGAAAACACGATGAGTACCGTAGAACAATAATTTAAGTATCTGGTTATCAATTTTGTTTACAACTTACTTGACCAATGTATGCATAGATCACCTTTCTCCATTCACTGCAATTTTCAAAAATGAAGATAACTGGACAAGCCCCAGAAATATGAAAATTGAAAACCTTGTTTGGTTTTGGTAAATTTGACAATGAAAGTAGTGATGAAACAAAAGTAACCATTTATATATAACACTGTTTATTGAAATAATAATTTTGGAGATTAACTTTAAAAAGCACCTCTCTATCAAAATCAAATAATAAATCTTTAATTATTTTGTGTCTAAATTTTAAAAAAATAACAATAATACAAATGGAACAAAGCTGCCCTAAAAATTGTAAAATTATTCCTGCTACTGCTACTAAACAAGGCAAAGCTTAAGAAGTGACTTGTCTCATTTAGATAGATATATGTTGGCTAATTATAATATTATATATAATATAAGCATCTAATTATATATACCGGTAACAAACAGTTATCACAGTTGAACCTATGTAAGACTACTTTCACATCTTGAAATGAGGCCACATAGAACTATTCAAACACATTTCAGAAAAAGATTTCACCAAACTACAGTTTTCTTACATTAGAAAAACTCATTATTTCATTTTTTAAAATATGTAATTTAGATGTCTGTATGAGCCAAAAAAAAAAGGTTAAGAAATTGAAGTTCTGATTAAAAAGAAATAGTTTCACATAAAAAAAAAGGCAATGACAACTCAATGTTTCTTTATATTTATATTAACTTAAATAAAATTGTTTAAATCTTTATTCCTACACATGAGTTATAATTTGAGCTTAACATATAACTAATTAAAATTAGATTTCAGCATACAGCTTTTTATAAACAATAGGATGGCAATTTAAGAAATATAAAGGTAATGCAATTAGATTTTTTTTTTCATTAAACAGAATAATTACTTGTGTAATTTATTTATTTTTAAAAAGCTATAATCTTTTTTATCATCCATCGAGTGGGACAGGTTCTTCAAAATAATAGCCCATACTTATTACTAGATTTAAAAACATTTTTTAGATCTTTTAACCCTGCACCCACAAACAATAAGATCAAATTATGTTAAGTGACATTTAAAAATTTTCCATGTGGTAGGTTTTATCACAGAGCTCAACACTTAAGGGCTGTTCTTAATCTATCTTAAGAAATACTGACATTAATTCTTACTGTCTAGACAAGCAAGTTACATTTAAAAGTAGCAATAACTGTAAGGAAACAAAACCAGAATCAGTATAGAAAACAATTAACTGTTAAAGACACACAATTAATGTATTTCTTGTGTGAGTTGAGCAACTATATTCATGCACTGGTATAGGGTAGTGATGGCAACACAATGTAACATCTTATAATAATCTATAGCAAGTACAAACTATTTTTATCATCAGGTTTTTTCATCTGAAAATAGACATTAAAGAAATTATATATTATTTTCTTTGCTACAATTGGGATTTTTAACTTTGACACTACAATTATGTTTGTTCAGAAATAGAGGACACAAATTTTGTGTTTTAAATATAGGGAAAAAATTGTTAGTTTTTATCATTTAACCCTTCAGACTTCCCCTCATATTATAAAAAGAAAACTTCTACTCGATTTATCAACCAAAAGAGCTAATATTTGTTGACCACCATCTTTGTTTACAAATTACAGACATATGAAATATTTAAAAATCCATAAACTTTTAATGTTCTGAGTGGAAAAAAATAGGCGAAACAAAAATTAATAATTATTAGTATAAGGTAAAAATACTTCATTATATTATAATTTATTTTAAAATTACAAAAACCTGAAAAATTTATTTCTAAACTTTTTATACATAAAAATTCACCACTCCAATGGATTCTGTAAAGCTTACTTTAATTACATGCACATCCTTTTTTTTTGGTTTTAGTTATAAATTATGAAAATAAATGTCAGTAACAGATGTGGAGGAAATCTCTTCTCCACCAACATTGAGAGAACAAATAAATTGTTGAAAAGGACACATCTTCCAAAATACAAAAGACATTTTAAAATTTTCTTTTATGACTATGAAAAGCAAACTCTGAAAAGCAGTGAAACAAATTTTCAATTTATGTTGAACACCCAACTAGTCTCTCAGCTTGGGTTTTCGTTGCTATAAGGAAACAAAATTCAAATGTAAAAATAATTATAAGAACATCAGATTTTATGACTATCTTCACTGGTTAAGTAATTGTCAGTAGATTGCTTTTAGTTGTATTGGTACACTGAAGCAGCTGCCAGATAATGGATCTAACTACAGCTGCCCATTACAATGACACAGTGGAGTATTGTAGAGCCTCATGACTCTGTAGAGTAACTGCTCCATTTATTCTTCTATATATTAAGGGCCCACAATCAATGTTGATCATTCTGGTTCCTATGTATGTAGATGAGATTCGCAATGTTTTGTGTGCCTGATATGGAAGAGGATATTACACTGGTTGCAAGGGCTACAAAAGCAACTGGGGGGCTGAGAGGCCTCTTCAATGTACATGCAAGTGCAAGTTAACTTTATCAGAAATATAGAATAATTCATCTATAATTTATAACTTATTATAACATATTATAATTAAAATTATATTAAGCATGCCAATAACCCGAAAGTATAAATAATTCCACAAAATAAAAAGGATCTATATCCCACTTTCTAAAATTTAAATACAAGTAATGACATGAACTGAACAAATATCCTTTTGGAATTATCATCACAAAGTTTATGTGACGTACTCAGTTGAGTCAACAAAATTACTAATACTAATGTTTGTTTTCTCATGGATTAATTACTTTATTGTTTTTAACATCAAATTGTACCGGTACTAAATATTTTCAAACAAATTCAAAACATATCTTTGGCCTTGGTAAAAAGTATAACATCAAACTTTCAACACCACCTTCCTGAGAACTTCATAAAAAAAAATATACTAATTATTTTGTACATTCAACCTGTTGACTCCATTTACAAAAATAAAATTGTTTCTATGCTACGACCAGCAAAAAATATTGGTCCTTCATTTTAATTAAATATGAAAAAATGAAAAAAAAAATTTAATCATACATTAACTATGGTCTAAACAATAACATAAATGAAACAGTTAATTATATCTTTACAATCATTGGTGGTCAGAGGGATTTCATTCTTGGAACTAATGAATTATGATTCAATCAGCTTTTAGCATTTGATCAGATCAGACCTTCCAAAGAGCTTGTGATAGATAAATTAAAAGAGGTGCATACTCCTTTTTATGTCATACTCATCAACATTATATTTTTACATTTTGTAGTACATGGTGCTCATATCATATTATTTGTTTTTTAAAGGATATTAAAACGACTATGCCTCTTGCTAGACCAGGGGTAAGAAACTTGCAGCAATCAAAGAATATTCAAGCAACAGTCAAACTTATTGTTTTCATATATTGTTATAAGACCCCCACTGTTTATCCATAAGATGTGAAGTACTATGTGGCTTGAAGGCACTTCAACATTATCCCAATGCTGCCCTTTAAGTCGTTTCAGTTTGAGACCCCTGTGTCTCTAAATATTTTTGTGACCTATGCACATAAATGTAACAAAAATTTCAAAAACATTCAAGATTCATGAGAATGAAACATTAACAGATCATATTATTTATCCTGGATTTAATTCTCCCTGCATATAGAATTATTTATTTATATTATGCTTTGCATAGTTGGATGATATTACAGAGGCAAATGTTTTATTGAATGTAAATATTTAAAAAAGACTGACAAGTGAAGTCAGGGACAGTATGGACTCCTACATGACCAAAACATGGAGCCTCGTAATTCATTTCCATTTTAAGACATTCACTTCCCCCAAGGGAAGGAAGGAAGTTCCAAGTTTGTATTTTATTTGAATGATGAGGGAATATGTAGAGAACTTGGAAAAAAAGAACCAATTCGTAAAAATATTTGCTTTCTGGGTAAGTAAATAGTTTTCTACTATATATCTTATGTGTAATGTGGTATTGGACAAAATTCTGTTTACACTATATTCCACTTAATAACAGCACACACTTCACCAGTATATGTTCTAACTGCAAAAAACACCTCTCTGCTCAAACTCTTAAACATCTAGAATTAAGGCAAAAAAAGAAGAAAGACGCCTGAGTGTGGATCCAACAAGAAATTCTATAAGAAACAATGTGAACACATCTCTGGCACTGTTACAATTCTGCTGGGACTTTCAAGTCTTTCCTGGCTATGTAGATCTTCCGTACTTCATCCCAAAGCACTAAACTTATTGTCGTATGTGGGCCAATTCTTAAATAGGATGGGACCCAACCTTTGTAAAAACCCCAGAACCCTTCAGATTTGAAGATTTTGAAAAAACAGTCTGCAACACCGGAATAGAACGCTCCTTGCCCATTAGGACTCACTGCCTGGTTGTAAAGTCTTGTGGATACAACATCAAATGGTGTCATGAACAGTGTAACAAAGATACCACTGACCATACTTGCAGAAAAAGTGACATTAAAACTGTTTGGCTTGAATATCTGAAATATATTACATATTTATTACCTAAACAGAGGTATACATTTTTTTGTTTTACTGTTAACAAGAATGTAAATATTTTCTGGGACATTTTGACTTTCAAAATATTCTAGGACTCTTGAATAAAGTTTATGGTATATTTTTTATGTTAACTCCAGACTATTTTTCTCTTATGCTGACAAATAAATCTAATGGTTTCTTTAAAAAAAATATCTTACTTTGGACTCCTCTACAAAATGTTTAGCAGCAGAGAATGTAGACAGCTGTGATGCTGACCCCACTGTCACCCTTACAATGGCACCACTGACTCCCCGCCATAATCCACTTACACCATGATCTTTAAAAATACTCTGAAATTTAGGACAGTCAGAAAGAGGAACATTTTCATTTTGTTCAATTGCCAAACCAAAAATTTAATTACATGAACACACACTCACAGTACAAATGCATAAAATGGAAAAAGATCATAGTAAGGAGATTTGGGAATTATGAAATACAGTTAAAAGAGAAGAAAGATGGTGTCATATTCTATGAACTCAGGTTCTTTTTATTTTCAATTTTATTTTAATTTGTGATCTGTTGGCCGAAGCAGCGTAAGTTAAGTTTCACAAAGGAATACAGTCTCAAATATGTTTCCCAATCTTTAGAAATAAGTTAAGATTGATGAAAATAGTTCCTCTAAAATCTACATTAAAAAACAAACAGATTAAAATAAACAAATGCAAGACAGTTTCTAATACTTCCTATTGTTGGTAAAAGCTCATTGTAACAGAAAATGTGCTGTTCAAATTATAGAACCCCTTCTTTTAAACCTTACCTTGAATGCATGAGACATTGATTCATGTGGATGTTGGTGTCCAACAGCAATTTCTTTATTTGCCTTAGACTGGAGATGTGTTTTAACCTGATAATTAAAATGAATAAAAATTACCCATGTAAAATTATCTAATACATGAAATGAAACAAAAGCTTCATGAAACATGAAGAACAAAAAAAATCACACCGGAACATTAGATTTTGTATTGTAGTCGTAGTAGGATTTCCAAACAATTCCAAACTGAAATTATCTATACATAGCAGACATTTGTGGTGAGTTTCACCTGATATAACTTTTTATTTCAAGATATAAGACATTTTTTAAAATAGATATGTCTAAATAAACGAGAAATGCAATATTTTCAAATTTGATTTTTTTTTTCGTTTTCAAAAGGGCCATTTTTAAGGACTTATATTTTCTAAAACAATCAACAGAGAACTCCAGGCATTTGCTCCTAAGTTTAAAATATTTCAGCCCAATTTTTTTAAGCAACTAGAACTAGTCATTCAAAAGTTTTTAAAGAATGAAAAATAAATAGAATGCTTTTTAGTCGTTTTTATTTTTCAACCGAAAAAGTGTAAAAATACACAACTTCAAGAATTCATAAAACTTTTTGCCACAGACAATTTTTCAAATGAATGATAATTTTAAGCAGCATAACATGCACTGGCTACATGACATCAAGAAAAATGTACATGCAATATAATGACACAAACTGACATTAATAGAGTCTTTCATTTTTGTGTGACTCAGGTTCATTCCAGAATGTATGCCTTTTCCTTTTGTAGTTAGTGGAACTGGAAGGCTGTGGTACTTCAGAGAAAGTATTTTCACCATCAAAAGTTGCTTTTTTAAAAATGCATTTATCATAAATGCTAATGACCCAAATTTCAAATGTTTGTTGCCCCCTAACCATCTTATGATATCTTACTTCATTTCTGACAACTTTTAAAATTTGAGTTTGAGGCCCCTGTGTTAATGACTTAGACCACTCAGTGGACCAAAGAAGTTTAAATTTAACTTACCATATAGAAGGGGCTGCCAACAAGAGCACCAACGCAGCCAGCGAAAGCCCCTGCTGCCACACTACGCAAAAAACTATGACGACCATTTTTATCATTGGTAAGGCCCAAGTTAACTTGTATCTGTAAGAAGATATGATGGTATTTTATACAAATAGTAGTATTCAATTCCCATTAATGTTTATAATAAATGATAAACTAAAATCATTAACACACAGACTGATACCAATTACTAATAATTAATTTTCCTCACTAAAGTGGGATATTGGAAGCATTACAGCTAAATCAAAACCCAGTAATTATAAACTTTTATGTAAACATACCTGGTATGTTCCTAGTCTCGTTCCATTCATAAAAAACTGATACCACAAAGCTGGCACAAGACCACTCTGTAGAGCCAGTAAACCATCGTTCCTTGCAATTGTAACAAAAGCATGGAATGCATTGCGGTAGTGTACCTACAAGTCAAAGTAACACATGGAGTCTTTTCATTACACAAATATTTAGTGTGGTGGTTAATAATACAAGCAAAATTCATATAGACATTAACTGTTACTTTTGTGCTCCTTTAACAGCTACAAACAACAACATTTCTATTCTCAACCTTTTGTACAATTTGGTAATTGGACTGAGAAGACATCTGGCTGATCTAATGAAGAAAAGATGAATATTGTCAATGAATACCTATTTTATTTGTTTACATCATCACATTGAAAAATGCGGAACAGAATAACAAAGATATTCAAGTGGTTTGTATATTACCGCATACTCTCCATGGGCTCTTAGTTCACCCTGCAGTTGCATACGTGTTTTCACAACCTCTAATGGATTTGTAAAGAAGCCAGCACCGCACGTAGCTATTCCACCAATTAAAAACTCTATGGCCCCATTACTCTCATTAGAGGACGCTGCTGCCATTTATATACCTGAAATTAAATGATAGCATAAGATATTACATATTAACAGTAGAAGTATCTGCAAACTGAAAATAATAAAATTTTATAGCAAATTTTAATTAGATCCGTCCCTCAAAGTTTGAATATCATAAACTAATTTTTTTTCTACATATCTCTGTGATTGCCTAGTGTGGATTTTCAATCAAAATCAATGTATAGTTTAAGGCTTGTTGGTTACTTTGATATTATTAACTAGAAATAACCCCTCCAAGCCCAGACAGCTCCTCTACTTTCCTTAGGGAGCCTTCAGCACCCTAGATTTCTGCTCCCCTACCCCTGACCATGATACTGACTATAATCACTTTCCAAATGTTGCAATGCTTTGTAAATCAAAGTTTCAGTTTAAAATCTTTTTTTTTTCTTCTTATCTTATTTTAAATGTGATAATTCACAAAAGTTCACAAACTAAACTCACACAATTTTTGTGATTTTTTTCCTTTACCGGATCTTTGGTGTCATTTTGGAAAGCACAATTTCTATTTAAAATAAAAATCCATTGAAAAGGTTGTTGATATTACCCGCCTGAACACTTGCTATAGGCTATAGCATGCTAACAAACAACAAAAAAACTTTTGTTTTCTGCTTGCACTTGTTAATATGACTAATATGACGAAAATAATTCTGAGTTAGGCCTACATTGGTGTTTTTTAGTGTCGTATACGTTTACTTAACGTACACACTTTTGACCCCAAAAAATATGGTTTTCCCGCTGGAGCTGAGCATTGAGACAGACAGAAAGAAAGTAGAAAGACATGTCTGGTCTTTTCTTATAATAACTATATTAATATTATATACATGGACATGAGGTCCATTGTAATTTACTTTAAAAAAAAAAAAGGAGTAGAGTCTGAGTAAAAACAGTTTGGGAGACTGTGTCAGTCAAAGTGTGAGTGTAGTGTTAGTCACAATAATGTTGTATTAATTGTATTGAATATAATAGGCTAATAATATAATTATGACATTTTTATTATGTCTAACTTATTTACTTAGACTTAAGTTTAAGACTTAATAAGTGAGGAAAACTAAGACTACTAAGACTATGACTAAGTGAAGTCAAGTGAGACTTAGTAAGAGTAAGTCAGAGTGTAAGTCGGAAGTGGTAAGAGTAAGAGTCCTGCCTAGTGACTGACCTTTTTTATTTGAATTTAAACTAAATTGTTCTAATCAAATTGATAAGTCCTACATTTAAAACTAAAGCTTACTTTGATAATTATAGTGTTGCTATCAGGTATAAACTAAATTAAATATAGTTAGCATATTAACAAAGATGTTTTCATTTTCAAACATAAACAATATCAGCTGATCATGCTGGGGTTTGGGTTACCCACAATTTAGGTGTTACTTGTTACCGATATAAAGGAAATTCTACCGAGGTACTGACATAGTTATGGAGCTTAAGCATCCGTTTCAGAGTTGTGGTTGGAGATACATATATAATTTTTGAAGATACGCTTGAAGATAGTATTCTTTAACTTAAATAAAATTAAATGTAATAAAACTAAAAACTTTGTTTAAAAATATTTAAATATTATTAATATTAATAAGAATGCTTTAGGTATTATTGTATATTTAAAATAATTTAAATCTTTTTAGAAAATATGAATGCAACTTTCAAGTTTACCCCTACCTTGTGTTTATTATATCCAACATTGCTTCTGGTAGGTTATTGTTTGATAAAACCTAATATTTTCACAAGGTTTGAAGCTGGTTTAAGCATTAATGGTTGCAATTTACTCTAATATTGGGCTGTACTCCTACAATGGGATATAAATAAGAAGCATACAAAATCATCTTACCAAGGGAAGATGCATACAAAATTTATACTGATATAATTATATATAAAGAGACCGTTTTCTCAAGTATAGGCCTAATGCAATGATTGAACATATTTTTTACATTTTAAATAAAAGCTTTTTATTCATGGCTTAATATTATTTACAATCACGCGTTCTTGCACATAAATCCATGTACAGGACACAGGGTGGACCGTCCTATACAACTTCAAATACCGGTAATAATTTTTTGTTGGCAGCCTTAAACGTCTAAAAGTAACATTGTCATGTTTCTAAAAGTTTATTTAAAATAGTCAAAATCAAATTTAATGTTTCCTCCTCGGTTCTTAACCGTTTTTTTTTCTAAATGGCTCTTCCACCAGTCAATGCGTGTCTATAATTGGATACAATTTTGCCAATCTAGAACAATCACAATGTCTAATTTCAATTGTTCTTCTTTAAAAGTTAGCCTTTAAAAAACAAAAACAAAAAAAAACAATAATCTACTAGGTTTACTTCCGGAGTATTTGGAGACCAAGTGTCTAGTTCCACGATGGTTACATTCAGTGGCGTAGCTAGGGTTGGTGTCACCCGGTGCGGTAAACTCATGGTGTCACCCCCCCCCCCCCACCTCCTAGGATCGCTTTTTTTTCTGTTTAAAATAGTTCCACAGAATAGCATCAACCTTGACCTTTACGATTTTTTCTTGTTAAAATAAGTCCACAGTATAGCATCAACCTTGAACTTTTAATAAAGCACGCATTTGGATTGGTTACATTTGTGAAAAATATATGTGTGATCGGTTATTCTTTTATGAATCTCGGTTTTTGCGAGCAATGTGTGCCCTGTAAATATGCAATTTTTCAATCGGGTGTCACCCCTAAAATGGTGTCACCCGGTGCGGTCCGCACCCCCCGCACCTGCCTCGCTACGCCACTGGTTACATTTATTATTCAAGTCGAAGCCATGGTCATCTTTGCACGCGAAGAACGTACTCTAATAATGCATTCACCCGATGAAAAAAGTGCAGACCCTATCATGTTTCTTGCCGTCGTGTGAAGGAGCTCCGTCCTGTTGCTGTGTCCAGCTGTGACGATTACACATGCCTCGAAATCTTTGTCACTATTATGACGTGTTTACAATAATTTTCACTTTCACTCCAGGTTCAACTAACACTGCACTATTTTTTTCCCCATCCGAGAAACACGGATCGAAACCATGATGCAACGACTAACATGAGTCTCGTTGTTGGAACTATATATTTTTTTTCATTCATGCTTCAGAATCAACACGATCATTTCGATAATGTTCAGGTGTGGCGCCATAAAGAGTCTTTTCGTTAGTAAAACAAATGCTTCGTGCTCTAGTTTGGAAACCTATCAAGTGACTGTTGACTTGGATGCTTGCGTTTGAATTTGCAGTTTTCGTTGTAACCTTATTACGCCCCTTATTACGCGTGTGTACGTTTGAAGATCTTGCTTTACGATAAGTTACACTGTTATTTTTTTTTTTTTTCTTTTTTTTTTCTTTTTTTTTTTTTTTTTTAAAAGTAAAAGAGAGTGGGGGGGGGGGGGGGGGGGGGGGGGGGGGTGGACTTAAATGGCACTTTTCAGGATCATCATCCCGGTGGCAAATCAGCTTACTCACATGCTAAATGTTCTGCACTGTTGTAACATACTTTGATGGGCCGCTTCCTGGGCTTCGTTTGTCGTATCATCGGCATCATTAAAAACAACAACAACGACAGCACACAGTTTTAAAAAAAAACCAAAAAAACCCACAATAATTAAGTCAACCTACAAGACTTGTTTTACTCAAACCATTATTTGGCAACGCAGACATTAGCCTCACTCCCCAAACACAGTAGCCGTTTTCCTATTATACCTCAACATTGCTTTTCAGTTTATTTATTTATTTAGGCATTTTTATATAGCGCTTACCTTAAAGCTCTAATCGCTTTACAATTATTAAAAACATGTAAACTAAGTAAAATAAAAATGAAAATCCAGAGACACTAGGATAGTAACTACTATACTATAGAAACAATTGAAATGGCTATAAAACGAGGACACTTTGGCACTTTTTGGCCTATACTACAGGATCAACCCGATACAGAAAATGAGGCAGGCAAGTAGGGTGCATCACTGGTCATAGGCGGACCTAAACAGATGGGTTTTAAGGGACTTTTTGAAAGTGGACGAGGTTTCACAATGACGGATGTGGAAGGGGAGCTGGTTCTAGAACGTGGGCGCATGGAAGCAGAAGGAGCGTTCACCGATGGTCTTAGTTTTGGTTCTTGGGATTGAGAGGGCTCTATTGTCAATTGAAGAGCGTAGTTGTCTTGTGGGGATGTAAGGAAGCAACAGTTCAGAGAGATAGACGGGAAAGTGAGGGTCAGTGAATGAGTTGAAGCATAGATTGGCAGACTTGTACTTGATGCGAGAGGATATTGGGAGCCAGTGGAGTTGCCGCATGTGTGGTTGAATGTGGTCATGTTTCTTTGATTTAAAAATGAGTCTGCATGCTGAGTTCTGTGCCTTCTAAAGTTTGTCTATGTGGTATTGAGGAATGCCTGCGAGAAGAGTGTTACAGTAGTCAAATTTTGAAAGAATGAGTGAAGAGACGAGAGTTTTTGTAGCATCAAAGGAGAGGAGGTGTCTAATGGTGCTGATTTTTCTAATTTCGTTGTATGCTGATCTGCATATATTCGTGACATGTTTGTCCATGGAGAGGGTGTCTGTAAGCGTGACTCCAAGGTTTCTGGCAGAGGAAGATAGTGTGATGTCAGAATTGCCAATAGATATAGAAGAAGGAGCGGATGGAGGGAGAGGTTTGTTTTGAGAGTGGATGAGAAGGATTTCCGTTTTATCATCATTTAGCTTCAGTTTGTTGCAAGTCATCCAACGCTTTACACTTTACGTCGTCCACGCACTCCTGTATGCGAAGTATTGGCATCAAGTTAATCAGAAAAGCAAGAGTCACTGATTTGAGTGTCATCAGTAAAGGATTGACTGGAAACTGAGTGGTGGCTAATGAGAGATGATAGAGGTTTAGTGTGGAGGATGAAAAGGACCGGCCCAAGGACCGATCCTTGAGGAACTCCAATAGACAGGGCAGAAGGTTTTGAAGAGCGGTTGGAAATAGAGACTGTTTGAGTTCTGTCAGAAAGATATGATTGAAACCAGTTAAAAGCTAAGCCAGTAAGTCCGAAAGAAAGATGAAGGCGGTCAAGAAGAATCTGGTGGTCAATGGTATCAAATGCAGCAGAGAGATCTAACAGAGTGAGAATAGAGAGTTTGCCATCGTCCATCGCGTGCAGGAGGTCACTCATGACTCGGACCAGTGCTGTTTCTGTGCTATGACCAAGTCGGTAGGCGGACTGAGAGGAAGGATAGAGATTGCGAGAGTGAAGATAGTCAGAGAGCTGAGAGAGTATGAGTTTTTCTATGATTTTTGAGAGAAAGGAGAGGTTACTGACGGGGCGGTAATTCTTGAGTGTGTTTGGATCAAGTGAGGGTTTCTTTTAGTAATTTGACACAGTATCAAAGAATCCTTGTTAAAATTGCCGCTAGTGTGTACGGGTGATGAGTGAGGGAAATTCCGAGCCTGTGAGTTTGGTCACTTTCAAAATAGATTTAGTCAAAAGGCAATAGTCATATATTGCCTGCTCCTGCTTTCTGTTTGAACACCTTTTAGTTTGAAACTTTCTATTTGAAATAGCCATATTTTGATTTTGATTTTATGCTTTCTCGACCGTGTTTACCAGAAGCTTTCATTTTCATAGCTTTTATTTTTATTTGCTGAATATTTTTACTTTAGATCACCGGGAATTTTCTTTTCTTACCAAAGATATAATACCGTTAACATGCCGGGTGTACTTGTGAAGTTTAGGGGTGATGCGATGCTCAAAACTCGAGTTTTAATGTCTTTAATACTTAATTTTATAATCGCTCTTTTGTGTTGAATACTTGATATGACCCAGTCTCACTCAGACTCCAACTGCTGCGGTCCCCGGATAATATGCGTTTGAGACCCCTGAAATAGAGAATGCATTTGTTTTCACGATACACACCATTCCTCTCTCAATCCCCCCCCCCCCCCCCCCCCCCACGGTTTCCAAAAGTCGCAATCTAAAGGCATCTTAAATTAATTGTATAAAATATTTCTAAACTGGATTTTCAATTACAGCCCTGCATTTGTCAGTTATAGCTTTCCTTATTTTTAACTTCTTTATATTATCTCTGCTTGTGTTTGTGGCTAAATCTTCCCAAGGCTAATTGACCCACTTCCCGTCATCCTCTCGAGATTAAACTTAACAGATAGACAAAAAAAAAGGTGTGGAGATTAATTATGTAGCTATTGATATGTGATTTGTATATGTGACTTGTAGGGATATGCAGTAAAATTACAATTTATCTTTGAAGGGGAAAATGAAGGAAATATGAAATGTGTTTTCGCCAGAAGCTTACCCATTTACACAAAGCGTCTTCATGAGCGATGAATCACGTACAATTACACAAATGCCAACAAAAATGCGTAGAAAGAATT